CCTTGGTGGAGGATGACATCTGGGGGGACGGGGGGGGACAGGTGAGATCAGTGTGGTCTGGCTGTAGTACACCTTGGTGGAGGACATCATCTGGGGGGACAGGTGAGGGGACAGGTGAGATCAGTGTGGTCTGGCTGGGGGAGACCTTGGTGGAGGACGTCATCTGGGGGGACATGGGGGGACAGGTGAGGGGACAGGTGAGGGGGCAGGTGAGGTCTGTGTGGTCTGGCTGGGGGACACCTTGGTGGAGGACGTCATCTGGGGGGACAGGTGAGGGGACAGGTGAAGGGACAGGTGAGGTCTGTGTGGTCTGGCTGTGGGACACCTTGGTGGAGGACATCGTCTGGGGGTAACAGGGACAGGTGAAGGGGGGGGTGTCATTGGGGGCACAGGGGACAGGTGAGGGGTGGAAGGTGACGGTGCAGGATGTTGTCCAGGGAGACATGGGGGACACCTGAGGGGTGCAGGATGTCATCCCACCCTCCACCCCCACATCCCTCTGTCCACACCTGGATCCCTCCCTCTGTCCCTTTATCCCTTTATTCCTCCCCCATCCCATATCCTTCCCTCCATCCCATATCCCTCTGTCCATCCCATATCCCTCTGTCCATCCTGTATCCCTCTGTCCATCCCACATCCCTCTGTCCATCCCTGTATCCCTCTGTCCATCCCACATCCCTCTGTCCATCCCATATCCCTCTGTCCATCCCATATCCCTCTGTCCATCCCTGTATCCCTCTGTCCATCCCTGTATCCCTCTGTCCATCCCATATCCCTCTGTCCATCCCATATCCCTCTGTCCATCCCATATCCCTCTGTCCATCCCTGATCCCTCTGTCCTTCCCTGTATCCCTCTGCCCATCCCCAAATCTCTCCATCCATCCCTGTATCCCTGCCCTCATATCCTTCCCTCCATCCCACAACCCTCCCTCCACCCCCAAACCCTTCCCTCCAGCCCCGTATCCCTCCATCCCAAATCCCCCTCCGCCCCCTTCCCGCAGCCCCGTGTCCCCCCCGTGTCCCCCCCGTGTCCCCCCCGTGTCCCCCCCGTGTCCCCCCCGTCCCTTGGCAGCCGCGGTGGCCGCGGAACGTCCCCGGGACGTCCGGGAGGAAGAGGAAGGGGATGAATGGGAGGCGACAGGGACAAATGGCCGGTGGCAGCGCCAGGCGCCGTGGCGGTGTCCCCGTGTCCCCGTGTCCCCGTGTCCCCGTGTCCCCGTGTCCCCGTCCCAAAAAGGGCCCTTTCAGCCCCCGCCAGCCCCTGGCCCCGTTTCCGCCACGGAAACGCGTGCCGGGGACAGGGGACACCGCGGGGACACTTCGGGGACACCACGGGGACACTTCGGGGACACCTCGGGGACACTTCGGGGACACCACGGGGACACTTCGGGGACACCGCGGGGACACCACGGGGACACCTCGGGGACACCACAGGGACACCACGGGGACACCGCGGGGACACCGCGGGGACACCACAGGGACACTTCGGGGACACCGCGGGGACACCGCGGCGCTGGGGGCACCATGGGGGGTCTCCTTGGAGCCCCCTGTGCCGGTACCAGAGCGCGGGGACACGGGTGGCGCTGCCACTGTCACTGTCACTGTCATTGTCACTGTCACTGTCATTGTCACTGTCACTTGTCACTGTCACTGTCACTGTCACTGTCACTGTCACTGTCATTGTCACTGTCACTTGTCCCGGCCGGGCCGCGTCCCCTCACGGAGAGAGAGGTCCGGGAGGTGGCACCGGGGACAGAGGGGACAGAGAGGACATCGGTGGCCCCGGAGAGGGGACACCTTCCCAGCCAGGCTGCTGGGGGTCCTCCCATGTCCCCACAGAGCCACCGTGTCCCCACAGAGCCCCCCATGTCCCCAGAGACTCCCATGTCCCCACAGAACCTCTCTGTCCCCAAAGCCCCCGTATGTCCTGGAGCTGCCGGGGGTCCCCAGAGCCCCCCGTGTCCCCAAAGCCACCGTGTCCCCAGAGCCACCCGTGTCCCCAGAGCCCCCTGTGTCCCCAGAGCCCCCCGTGTCCCCAGAGCCACCGTGTCCCCAGCACTGTGTGTCTGGAGCTGCCCGGGATCCCCGGAGCCTCCTCTGTCCCCACAGAGCCACCCTGTCCCCAAAACCACTGTGTCCCATCCTCCTCACTTTGGGGGTCTCTGCACCCCCCCAGCATCCCCTGCACCCCTCCGGGGGGGCCCCCGACCCCTGTCTTTGGGGTCCTGACCCCTTTCTTTGGGGTCTTGACCCCCCTCTTTACGTTCTTCACCCCCCCTCTTTGGTCCCCCCGCGCCCCCCCCGCCCTTCTTTTTGGGGTCACCGCCACCCGTGTGTCCCCCGTGCCACCCTCCCCACCCGTGACCCCCCTCCCCGTGCCACCCGTGCCCCCCGGCCCCGCTCCGGTGTCCGGACACGGGTCGGGACACGCCGGCGCTTGTTCGCGGTGCCCGCGGCGACACCAGTTACCCATTAACCCCCCCCCGCCCCCTCCCAGTGCCTCAGTTCCCCCCCCACACCCGGGGGGGGCTTCTGGGGGACAGGATCCCAAAGAAAGGAGTCAGGACCCCAAAGAGAGGGGTCGGGACCCCCCCGGAGGGGTGCAGGGGGTGCTGGGGGGGGTGCAGAGACCCCCAAAGTGTGTGGGGGGCCACAGTGGCTTTGGGGACAGGATGGCTCTGTGGGGACGGAGGGGGCTCTGGGGACCCCCGCAGCTCCAGGACACACAATTCTGGGGACACGGTGGCTTTGGGGACACGGTGGCTTTGGGGACACGGGGGGCTCTGGGGACCCCCGGCAGCTCCAGGACATACGGGGGCTTTGGGGACAGAGCGGCTCTGTGGGGACACGGTGGCTCTGTGGGGACACGGTGGCTCTGGGGACACGGGGGGCTCTGGGGACCCCCGGCAGCTCCAGGACACACGGTGGCTTTGGGGACATGGGAGGCTCTGTGGGGTCATGGGAGGCTCTGTGGGGTCATGGGGGGCTCTGTGGGGTCATGGGGGCTCTGTGGGGTCATGGTGGGGGCTCTGTGGGGTCATGGGGGGCTCTGTGGGGTCATGGGAGGCGCTGTGGGGACATGGGGGGCTCTGTGGGGTCATGGGGGGCTCTGTGGGGTCATGGGGGGCTCTGTGGGGACACGGGGGCTCTGTGGGG